CTACTCACATCATGAATAAGATGAAGTTCCCTCCTCAATGGATACTCCTATACACATCCATAATGAACAAGATGGAGTTTCCTCCTCAATAGACACACCTATTCACATCCATAATGAACAAGATGGAGTTTCCTCCTCAATAGACACACCTATTCACATCCATAATGGATAACATGGAGTTTCCTCCTCAATAGACACACCTATTCACATCCATAATGGATAACATGGAGTTTCCTCCCTAATGGATAGTCCTACTCACATCATGAATAAGATGAAGTTTCCTCCTCATTGTGTACTCCTATTCATGTTCATAATGAATCACACTTAGATATCCCAGTCTGGAAATCTATTCTTAATTTACAAAACTATAAAAAAACATTCAGTGGTTATAATAATAAAAAAACATAATAGTGTAATGTCTTCCTTCAACATAAATTACACTTCACTGTTTATTATTACAACATGAGTAATTAACAGGTTATGATTCAAATGTCCACTGTCTACAACTATATAAAGATGTCAATGTGCTGATCCTTATAAACCTTCTCAAGATTTGGTGTAATAATCTGGAGAATAACTTGTCAAGAAATTTCAAATCCTTCCGGTGGGCCCAATGAGAATAAATGTCTATAAAAAATTGACTCAATCATTGTAAGAGAATGAATAACACTTGTGCTGTAAAGGAAAAAAAAAAGTCCTCCAGAGTTATGTTCAAGTTATATAGAAGCTGAAATACATCACAAGAGATGGAATCAAAACCACTATTCTTCTCATCATAGACATCATTCAAGTGACAATGTTTTCCAATATTAAGGAGGGTTTATCATTCTAAAAAACCAGTTATACGTGTTTAAACTGTTACAAACAATTAAATTAAATATTTGTATACAATTATGATTATGCCAGATGGTAAGCCCTCAATGATAACTATAACAATGATTAATTCACACAGTTCCCCACTCCATCTCAGAGATAGATAGATAGACAGACAGATGGGGGGATTTGATAGATGGATGACATATCCTTATTTTAATACATACACACCTCAAGGTTAAAAACTAAATTAAAAACTTACAAGTCTTAGGTAATCCTTCCCTGAACTTCTTAGAATAAAATATCCATGATCTGGAAATTTCATTCTTAGCACTGTTGGAAAACAATAATATTTTAATAAAACTATATTTCTAACAGATAAAATATACACGCGGTAATTCCCACACAACATTTATTCATTATCCAGTCACTCTCACGTTATCAGTTGAAGTCAAACTTTTTTTAGAGTTATAGAAAAGTAAAGCAGAAACTGCAAAGTAATAAAGAAAAAACAAACAAACATTTTTATCTATACACTTACTTTGAAGGTAAAATATTTTCCTCTTGACTTTTTACAGGGTTCACATTATTTGAAGAACAGTTTGGTGTCATCTTTTTCTTTTTCCCTCTTCTTGTTTTTTTCCTTTTCTTGTTATCAGACAAATTCTGTAATTTGGCATAGGTATGGTTGGTCTAAACTTCCCATATTTTAATTCCAGGCAAAATATATAAAAAATATGATGGTCCTATTTAATATGATTAAATATTCATCTCTACACATATACACACAAACTGAAATCCAAAGTTCTTATAAAGTTTCTTGGTGTGCCAAACATCAACCAAATGAATACTTTGTCATAGAGGATATACCAACAAGACTATGGGGATTTAAATCTGTGGTTACTACAGCAAATGGTTACAAGAGGATGTTATATCTGTTTAATATAACCACTAGTTAGCAGCCTTGCAATATCAAAATGTATCTTTAGAAAAGTAGTCAGTCAGACAAAATGCTCACTCGGTTTCAAATTTAAAAGGACATTTAAACAGTTACACGTGATGCTGGTGTAGTTTTAGGATGTACACAGACATTTCTTAATATGTTTTCATTCTGAAAGAGAGTTTGAGGTTATTCAGCTCTTCAACTAAATTTAGCACTCTGAATTTCTTTATGAAGTCATCAGCATGAGAATACTGATTGTTGCTTGGAACAACAACAAGTAGCACAAGTAGGTTGATGACTTCAGCTCAGAGTAATGTCATCAAAACAAGTAGGCTGGTGAATGCAGATTTGAGCAACATTATTAGCACAAATAGGCTGATGACAGCAGTTTAAAGTAACATCATCAGCACAAGTAGACTGATGACTGCAGCTTAGAGCAATGTTTTCTGCACAAGTATGCTGATGACTGCAGCTCAGAGAAACATTATCAGCACAAGTAGGCTTGTGATTGTAGCCACAATTACAAGCCTACTTGTGCTGATGACATTGCTATAAGCCACAATCACAAGCCTACTTGTGCTGATGACATTGCTTTAAGCTACAATCACAAGCCTACTTGTGCTGATGACAGCCTGAAGCCACAATCATTAGCTTACTTGTGCTGATGACTTTGTTCTAAGCCACAATCACCAGCCTACTTGTGCTGATGACATTGCTCTAAGCCTTATAGCAATGTCATCAGCACAAGTAGGCTGATGATTAAGATCATCATTCAATGAAGCTTTATATGGATATATTTATAGAAAAATGGTTTAATATTGTTTTTAGATATACAAATATCTTTATGTTCTATTATTCTAAGGAAGAGTTTAGCTTTTATGTTTTTATTTGACAATTCATCATGCTGAGATAAGAAGAAAATCTGAATAATGAAGAAGACAAACAAAGGTACATTATAAAGAGTAACCTAAAATACTTCAGACACTCACTGATGTATCCAACAATTATTCCTCCCTAACCCTTTTTTTTCACATGGTATCTAGCTTCTGCTGTTTACAAAGTCAGATAGTCGTTGACATTGTAAACACTGAATAATAGAATAGGGCATCATGGGAAGTGTGTTCTTGATGAATAAGATAAAATATAGCAGCCAATGCGTGGCATCATAAGTAATACTGATCCAAATTAATAATGGTTTGTTTTCAACATTTGAAGAGCTAATCCATAAAATCCAACAAGGTTTCTAACTCCACATACATGCTCAAGCTACAAAATATTATTATAAAACTTTACATGTTTATCTGGACTTCCAGTGGGCCATTGTAGAAATTGAGTTTTCATCAAGATTTGTTTTTTTTTTCTCTAAAACTACAGAGCAAACTGTGGTTTCACAAACCAAACAGTACAGTTAAATATATGTAAATTGTTTATATTTAACTAACAATAAATGTGAATTTCTATATCGATCTTTAAAATTTCTATTAAGAAATCCATTATTAGATTGTGATGAAAGAGAATTATGAAGTCTTAATTATTCTACCACATCAAACACCTGCAATATCATTATATTTCTGCTGACCTGTACTAAATATATTATGGTAATATTGTGACTGCAGTAACAGTTTGTGGCAATGTTTATGGTTAAAAATATAGGCTTACCTTCAATTTTATAAGTTATTAAAGATTTTTTCATTTGGCCAATTTTTAGTAAAAATCAAGAAAATAAAAGATGAGAATGAAAATAAATGTCTTTCAGTTTTTCATTAGGAAGTTTGGTGTAAGTTACAGAAAATTATCTCAAATATTCAGTACATTTTTTTTATTAAAAGATTTGAAGAGGAAGTGATAAATATATGACTGCAAACATGAGGAAGTTTATTTCTAAATATCACATATAATAAGTTGGATAATAGAACTGTTACATGTAAATCAAAAACTGAACCGTGACTAACATGCTACAACTTACTGCCTGTTTCCATTGGTTTCTGAAGGGTGATTTTCAGAAAATGGAGCTGTTGAACTTGTCTTTTTAGAAAGCGGAGCTGTTGAACTTGTCTTTTCAGAAAGCGGAGCTGTTGAACTTGTCTTTTCAGAAAGCGGAGCTGTTGAACTTGTTTTTTCAGAAAGCGGAGCTGTTGAACTTGTCTTTTTA